TCTGGCAATCACTTTGTTCTTTGAGGCTAGAATATCATATGTTTTAGTACAAAAAGAGTAACAACTTGCTATGAAAATTTTACTTTTTAAAGATTTTTATTTTCATAATAAATAATACTAAATCTTTCTCTTGGTTTCTTCTTAAGTAAACCTACATATTTTCTATAATAATAATTTTATTCTGTATGATGAGAGATGGAGTAGTCTATTTTATAAAAAGAAAATTGACCCCTCTTAATTCTTTTTCTGTGTGTAAAGTCTCTCAGTCTCAAGTATAAATTTATTAACTGTGCTGGCTTGGTAGTATTATCCACATTTCTGAAACCAGTATTTACACCTGTGTTCTAAATACTGAGTGATGGAGGTGACAATTAGTCTTGGAAATATTTGACAGAGGAATGGACAGTCCCTGTACTGGAAAATCAAGGGCAGATTTTCTTCTGATTTTTATTCTTTTATTCTTTATTCTTTTCATCATACAGAGGTTTTTTCATTATGACTTTCTCTGTCCTATGATGAGTCAAAAGAATGGATAATTCAGAAGGGAATGAACTCTTCACTGACTGTAAATGAAAAAGTTTCAGTCAGCTGGGCATAAAAGAGGGTAATCTTTATTTTTAAAAAGGCAATTGTGTGGTATTTCTAAGTGACATTGCAATGCATTCTGCACATCTTTCACAAGAGGTGAACTCATGTTATGGCCGGCTAACAGTTTGCTGTTCAAATAAACACTGAAAATGATTTTTGCTACTTTTCTGTAAGCTTCAGCTGTCATGATCTCCATCAGCAGTCCTTCTTTTTGTGACAGTCCCAGAAGACAGCTGCAACATCTTTTTTGAAAAGGTCACAAATGTATGTATATATTCTAATTCTTCTACCTGTTATTTGGCCATCCTTTGAATAGAAGACAGTCTGATAATTCTAGCAATGAGAATTCCGGCACAAGTGAGAGGTAGGCTGTCTTGTGGATACTGGCAGTGCTTGAGTTTAAGCTAAGTCCCCTGCTGCTTAACTTTCTTGGAATTCTCAGTATTACCAAAATGTGGCTAGTAAATAAAGTATGCATTTGGGGCTTAACAAGTGATCTGATAAAAGTTGTGTTTGAATCTACCCAGTGCTATGTTGATACCTGAGCTAATTCCAAGAAATCTGATAGGTATACAAGCTATAGCTGAATGCTGCACAGAAGTATTAGTTCCGTCTCTGCTCTGTTAGAAAACGGTTCAGTTAGGCTGATTTTAATTCTCGGATCATCGTGTCTGGAAACCTGTTTGGCTGCATTCCTAAGTTGTGGTAGTGTGAAGAAGCTTAAAGGCTGTGATTGTCAGAGCCTTGAGGACAACCATAGGCCTTAATGTTCCTGAAGAGCCTCACATGGGGCCTTCATCCACACCACCTGCCAGGGACTCTGGAGCCTCATATAAGCTTGGCTGGTCACTCAGTCCTTGCTTGAGCTTTGTCCTTGCCTCCTGGATGAACCTTGGACCTATGTTGTAGGTAGCTTGTCTCCTTGATGGACCTCTCATATGCATGGTATAGCTTGTCTCCGGCCCTCTCTTTGGCCCTGTCTCCTGTTAGTCCCAACTGGACTTCTTAGATGGACCCTGGGCCTTTTTTGTGCCTGGGCCTTGTTTGGGATTGTTGCTAGATCCTGCTATCAGTGTCCTGCTCTGCCCACCCCAGTGGGTGGGGACACTGCTCTGGCCAGTGCTGTGGCCTCTCTTGGCTCCTGGGTTGCTCTCCATTGTGGAGCAGCCGTGCTCTTGGTTCTCCTTGCTACAATGGTAACAGGAAAAGGCAAACAGGGAACAAAGAGGATACGAAGTTTAAAAAAAAAAAAAAAAGTCAGCCAAGAGAATCCCAAAAACCTTGGGATATAGAGGACTGGTGCACCTCCTTGCCTAAGATATAACAAATCTGTTCACCAGTTAAGGGTCAAACTGGGTTGTAGTACCCTCTGCTTGTCCTTATGAAATCATTCCACTGTATACAGAAGTCAGAATTCACCAGATCACATCAAGTCAAGTTGTTAAGTCATTCAAGTTGGATGTGTGCTGTCATGATCGTTTCTGTGTTTTGCCCAATGACTCATGGTTACTCATAATTTCTACTGTCTCAGAACTTCCTAGTGCAGATGTAATTTTTTATGTAAATTTAAACATCCTTTAGGGAATTAGGATATATAAGTGGAATAACTCAAAATATGCCTGAGTAATTTGACTGTTAAAATACAGTTATTTGACTTCTTTTCTTTTTGACACAATTAATATTTATTTTTACAAAAGGAAAATAGTTTCCACTGAAGAGAGCTTTAAAGGTATCTTTCATCAAACACTTCATAAGGCTGATGGTTAAGCAACTCCTATTTTACCCATAAGTACCTTGGCTGGTGGTTAAGCTACTCCTATATTCCCCATAACTACCTTAACCATCAGCCTCTGGGGATTCAAAATAAGATTTAAAGGCGGGCTTCTGACCTAATTGCATTCTCTTTGACTACTGGCTGCCCTATTGGAGATGTGAATCTCTTCCTGTTTTTACTTAAAACTCCATCCTACAGCAGATGAAAATAATTAATATTACAAAATAGCAGTAGCCAAAAGTATTTTCAATCCTATCAAAAATAAAATATTCTTGACAAATGAGCATTTAAAAAAAAAATTTTTAAAAAGGTGTTTGCGGAGAATGTCTGACTAGGCCTAATAATTTAAACTACATATTTAAAAGTAAAGTCACTAAGGTGTCTCAGGGACTTAGAACACTTCTACATTTAGCAAATGTAGAAAAGAAAACTAAGCATTGATCTCTGTTTCAGCAGACATTGGCAAGATCTCACCTATATATCTGGAATCACTAACTGTACTGGAATTTTACCAAAATTTCACGGTATCAATTGCTGTTTTAATTTGGCACAATTTATGAATTAATTCCCAGGCCTGAGCAGCTTCTAAATATTTTTCTGTTAAGGTCCTAAAGTTAATGCCTGGAATATATCTTTTATAACCAAGAAGTGCACTTTTCTGTCCATCATTTATAGCATTGCCAGAAGTGTTTGCTATTTCTGTAACACTGAAAGATATTCTATTAATATAAAGTAATAGTCTTCTAACACATTCTGAACCTGTTTCAGATAAACACACTGTGTATTTTTGAAATGCACTGTGTGTGTTAATTTTGATATCTGCTTATGACTTAAATTCCTGATAAAGAAGCCTTTTTTTTAACCACAGGCTAAAAATTCATCTTAACAAAATTTGAATGAATATGGTGCTCTGAGACATACTTCAGTCCAATTTGATCTTTATACTATGATATTATATTGCATTAGAACTTGACTTTACTGCTTGAGAGATACACATCTTTCTCTATAAGCTGTATCAAACTTTACACAGAGTAATATTATTGTGTGAAAGTCTTTATCGCTGAGCTTCAAGTTATTTGGTTATATTGTGCATGTATGCACAGAAAAAAATCTGGAACTGCCATGAAATAATATAGTCAATAATTATAAAACATTTTCTATTAGCTCTTAGTTAATTGTGCAAATTAGGGAGAAAAAATGCTACCAGAATAAGCTGACTAGTTGGTGAGCGGTAAGATATTAAAGCAGAGATAATGCTGATTCCTAGACTATAACAGCAGTATAAGGCCAAGGAAGACAAGCACTTAGCCTAATACCTGTGCAGCCCTAATTTGACCCTCCTGTGTAAATGTATTAAGCTAAAATTTTTAGTTGATTGTTTCCTTGCTTTTTTCCTGAAAAATCTTTATAACTTAAAGACTATGGTTTTTTTTCTCCTTCAAGAAGCAATAGAATTATAATTATTTTGTTAATAACTATCTTAGCTATTTGTAAGTGTTAATAGTTTTTATAAAACAAAATCACTTCCAAAATTGTTTTACAGACTTGCCTCTGAGACCTGTTGCTGCCTCCCTAACAACAGCTCTAAAATTTTATAGGAGTCAGTTTAAACTTGAAAATATTATATCAAAATGCCTCTTTCCTAGAAAGTTGTAACGAACTAGAAAGGGAATTGTCTCAATTATCTGGTGTTTGCCTATGGGAAAACTCTAATTATTTTGCTTTATATCAATAGCAGTTGTACTGTAGCAATATTATCATGCCTCTAAAAGTGTCTAAACTTACAAAACTCTCTTATTATAAATAAAATAGAGTTTATATTAGAGATAAGCTTAACTTGCAGAACATGTAAATTAATAAGTAAACAGATTAAAGCAAATTAGATGTATCATTTTAATACTTGTATAAATAGCATTGGGGTACAATGCACTGCTTTACTCATAATTTTTTTTAAAAAGCAAGAAGTGAAAAGCCTCTGTGAACCATCTTTGGTAAAACAAACTCCTGGGACTCATTCAGTGGTGCTTCATTCATCAGCAACCTGAGATGCTCTTTAATTCTTTGAGAGTGGAGAATGGATCTGTCTTTCTGGGCACAGTGGTACTGCAAATATTTGAGCAATACAGCCTGTATCCTCTATTGTTAGGGATCTGACCACCATCCCAAATGAAAGCTGAATGTATACCTCAGCTTAGAACATCGTGTGAGTAAATAACATCACTCTGAAAGTATCATTAAATTTCTGTGGTCAACTTTCAAAGTTCATCAGCTTTGCGAAGACATCAGCCAGTCCTCTCAGCACTTCTGGATGGTGGCTGTTGGGTCTCAGAACAGATTTACATCATATTTATCATATTTACATGACTATCACAGTGTGATGATCCTCAACTGGCAAAACAACTTACAAGTCATTCTCTCCACAGTGCTTCCTGGATGTTGCTGATCAAGTCCTATACAAATACAAGGCCCAAGAAGCTAAAGTGAAATTTTGTCTTATCCAAGGAGTATGTCACTTCCAACATTTTTATCTTACTAGTTGAAGCTTCTTCTGATTTGGATCACATGGCAAAATGTGGAAGATTCAAATAAGGTGGCATTAATGATTTTTTTCTTTTCTTTTTTTTTTCCCCCCCTTTAGGGAGATATCTTGGCCATTTTCCAGGATGAGACTGAAGTCTATTCATGCTGAAGAGACAGACCTTTCTCTTGGTAGAGGGAAATGCTTGGATCTGTGTAACACTGAGAGCTGGTGGGTTTCTCTTTCTGACTACGTAGACCTTCCTGAAAGACGTTACACATTAGGAAGTGAAAGTCTAGAGCCTTCCCCCTCCACCCCCCAATCCCTTCTGTCAGTTTAAAGAACTACTTTTTTCTTGGTCATGTAAACATTTTATTTTACATATTCATGGGAGAATGAAGATGATTAAGATCTGTTGTTCCCTGTGCCATGGTGTCAGTTATCTCATTGTTTTGTATAGTATTAGCAGGTATTGGATGTCGCACCTTTAGCAGGTTTTTAAGAATCTTGAACAGACTTCTGATCATAGAATATGTTTTTCTTTGTGACCACAACATTGGGATAAAGGTCTTAGAGACAGTTTGCTTCAAAACAAACAGAACTGAAAGCCCTTCTGCCCCTCAGGACATACAAGTCCGATTTCTACTTACGGAATGATATATAACATAAGCCAACTAGTGAAAATCTAGTAAAGCCCACTGTTGGTTTGTTCCCACTGTGGAACATGCAAATGTTCCACAAAACATCTTATGCAAATGCCAAATCAAAGCCCAAAATAATGGTGTTCGATGGAAAACTAGGACTGATTATTTTTAACTATTTACCTGAAACTTTTTCTATTCTTGTAGATTTATCTATTATTATGCTTACATGGGCACTTAATCTCAAGAATTTTGATGGAATTCTAAGGAAATCTTACATTTTGTTCTGGTAGTTTTGCACAGCTATTCTCAGGGCCCTGAGTGCACCAACAGGCTCTGTAATACCTTCTTCCTCTCATAGGCACTTAGCTGCTTGTACTTAGTGCCAGCTCTGATACTGTGCAACTATGTAACCTTGGATCAGGCTGCTGAGAAAAGAGCTGTGTGGAAAAAGAGCTGTGAGAGGCTTTGTCAGCCCTTCCCCACTGGATCTGGGAAATGCATTTAAGCTCACGTCCTTGCCTTGGTCCTTGCCTGACCTATGCTGTAGGTATTCCTTTTCCTAGCCATGTACCTTCCTGACCTGCTGACCTGACTTCATGGCTTGATCTTGAACTTCATCACTATGGGCTTGTCTGATGATCCCGACTCTTGGCTGGACTAGTGTACTGTCTTGGAACCTGTTCTGCTCTTCTGGCTGGGGTATTGTGGGACTGTGCCGCTTGCTGGTGAGGGTGCCACCCCTGCCTACCTTGCTTTTACCCTCGGCTGCTGGCTCACGTTCTGTTGCGGTGCAGCCCACTCTTGCAGCTCCCTAACAACTGCTGCCATAAACTGATTTAGGTAAAAGGACAGTTATCTCCATTTTTTAACATATTTGAATTCTTGAATTCTTAGAAAATGAACATTCCCCTGAAAAAGCGCCCACTGAAACCAGCCCGTGTTCTTGATAGATCTCTGACTTGGTGTGATCATCTGATAAATGTGACTGCCAAAATCAAGTCCTACTTACCAGATAAACTCCCATGGCTTGCCTGAGGAACTAATTTTTGCTCTATCTTGGACACCTGGACTTGCTCTCTGCTACTTGGCAGCAGAATACCATCATCCAGACTGGCCTTATTTATTGCATATTCAGTGGATTGACTCATAGCTCAATCTGGCCATCCATCAGAGACTGCTACCAACACCTGTGCTACCCCTGCCAGGGCACATTCTCTGGGCATATACTTCTGCCTAAATGGGAGAAAAATGTTGAAAGCTTGCTTGTCTGGCCCGGGGAAGAATTTAGCCCTTTTCCATTTAATATGAAATCCCAACATTCTATGTTGACTTCAACATGACTTTTCAAAGGCATTCTGCTAAGGTTAAAAAATAGTCCCAGCTACCAATAACTAAACATCATCATATTTAAAAGTGCACAGTTTGGCAGTCAGGCTTTGTTTTTCTTCCTTGAGTTTCTCCTCCATCAAGATCTGTGCTTTATCAGCAGACACAGATGGAAGGATTTGGAAAGATCTGAATTACACCTGTCAGTTTCAATTCATATCACAAAAGATTGCTTCTCACTTCAACTTTTACTTTTTAATTAATTTATTAGTTGCTGAATCTTCTTTCAATAAAGCAAAATATATTAAACTATTCAGGGAGCAAGGACTATGTTCATGGAAAGCTATCTTAAGAAAGCTCTGCTATAACCATTCTGAAGGCAGTTGGAAACTCTAACATTGCTTTGAAAAGCAGACAAAAAAAGAAGCCTTCTTCAAATTGTTGGGTGAGAGCTTTAAAATGAGTTTTGGTGGATTTTTAGAAGACAAATCTCTGTCTCTTCCCCTCCTTTTTTTTTTTTTTTTAATTTTTCTTTAGCAAAGTTATGCTGCACGGTTTAGGAAATTTTGAAACTCCTGGTCGTCATGTTTATTCACTCTAGGATTAATATTAATTTAGTTGACCAATGAAATTTGAGGGAACTATTTGGCATCTTCATCACCAATTGCAGTGGAGGTACAGTATGAGGTACAATTTTATTTGATTTATCCTAGCAGTATCAGGTTTAGAGTTCCCAAACCCTATGTGACAGTCTTTCAGTAATCTATGTTTGTTTGAGGTATCTGTAAAACTGAGAAAATTTCAGTTCATACAGTATTGTTGTTCTTAAAACAAGCAGATTTCTATCAAAAACACGATATTGTAAATGAAGTAAATCCACAGAAATGTCTAGGCTTGAAAAAAATTTTAAAAACTCTTCCTGGGGCTCTCCTGCCCCCACTGTGAGGTTAAATCTGCCAGCAACAGGTACAGTGTTGCCTTCCTAGAGGCTCCTGTCTAGCAGGGCAGGCTGCCAGGTGGATAGATATTGTGGGAAACCCCTGGTGAGCAAGTGCAGTATTTTATAATATCCTTCCAACTGGCAGCCTGCCCAGGATGGTATTTCTGTGCACTCTTCAAAACACTTTTAAAAAGTTTATTAAGATTGCAGGCAGCAACCATGGCAACTGGTAGGAACTGTATTTCTCAAGTGCATCAGAAAGGCATATATACAAATAAATAAGTGTGTACTGTGAGAAGATACGGGTCAATCTGATACTCTATTGTAATTTCAATATATATTGAATGAGTTGACACCTGGACTTTGAGCACTACAGCCTAATCCAAATGGGAAGGATTCTGGAAAAAAGCATGAACTTAATGGTTTTCACTTGTATGGCTGTATCAGGAGATACAGTTCCTTGTGCTGAAACTTTCCGTTATGTTCCTACTCATATATATAAACTGCAGCAGGACCTGCTAGTGCTTAAGGGCAAACCACATAATAAAGTGTTCTTTAATGGAGTACTATTAGTATACGAATGATTTTCTATTTACTAAAAAACTAACTAGGAGCTTTTAGATAAACTGTGCAGTGAGGTAGGTACTGACAGAGGTAAATGCATCTTATGCATAGCAAGACACAAAGAAAAATGCTTAGAAGGCATGTATGTGAGAAATCAACAGGATTTCTATTTATCTGTTTTAAAAATAAATAAATAAATAAAACCAAGAGGAAAGGAATGCAGACCATATGTATGAAAAGAACTAGAAAACACAAACAATTGGACATACAGTAGAGAGGAAAAAGTATTTTGTCAGGGTGCACCTGTAGCCTTAACTGCCCTGAGCAGGCTCACCTGGGGCCTCCCCACTATCCTCTGCCCGGAAACTGCAGTTATGCCCAAGCCTGGGTACCCAGCTTTTGTCTGAGCGATATCACAGGCGTGCTGGTGCTTGGCGCTGTCTCTGGCCCTGCGCCTGCATGGACTTTGGACCCACGTTACAGCCTTGTCTCCAGTCCTTTCTCTGTCCACATCCCCTGCTGCTGGACCCTGGGCCTGATTCATTGCTTGTCTTGCCTGGGGCTGGCGATGGACCCTGCTACCAGTGAGCACCCAGCTCTACTCACCCTGTTCAGACACTGTGGTGCTGCACTTGTTGGTGAGGGCACTGCCCATGCTGTGGTTACCTTTGGCTCCTGGCTCATCCCCCCCTTCTGGAGCAGCTCTGCTCCTGCTGCTCCCTGGCACACCTGCAAACCATACCAACAGTCGTGTTAGGAAAAACTGAACAGACAGGAAAAGCAAACCTGAAAAATGACTAAAAGGAAGGAGTTAAAGCTAAAATGAGAAAAGGAAACTATGGTCATCCCTAACCTTTAAAATATTAAAAAAAAAAAAAAAAAAAAGAGAGAGAGAGAGAGAGGGAGAGGGAGAGAAAAAGAGTAGAAAGGACATATATACTCAGGTTAGTTTTTATTGCTATTTTCTGTGACTTTTATTAAAAAGAAAATAACTTTAGCCAAAAGCAAACAACCAAAAACTAACTAAACCCAAGCAAGGAAATGAAAAGGAAAAATACTTTCGGCACATAAAAATAAAAGACAGCCCTCAATTAAATCATAGCTTTTAAATCAGTATTTTCTAGAACACTTTAACCATCACAATTTTAAAAGCTATTGAAATATTTCTTCTGTGAGTAGTCATTATTCTGACCAATGCACAGTGCAGTTTATTTACAAATCTTTTCTATATAAGCTAGAATAAAAGGAAATGAGTAAGTTAGAGACTATGTGATTGTGGCCCCATTCTAACGTGATCTAAATCTTGAAGAATTACGTTTTCATTTTTATATTTAACATAAAATTTGTAGCTGTTTATATTACTGCATGTATTGGGCCTGATTCTGCACTGGAACGGAGGTCTCAGGTACTTCCAAACTGAAATAACACCAGTGCTCCTGGTACACTGGCAAATAACTGCTCTTTGTATAAGCGGTGAAAAGTTTGTTCTAAGATTTTTGCCCTACCTCACCACATTTAGGAAACTTCCCTCTTATTTGCTTTACTCCTGGTCTAGAAAGGAGAGGAAATAGGCATGGAAATAAAAATTTAACCACATTCATATGTAATTAAACTGAAACTTTCTGGGGCTACCCAGCTCCTAGTGTGCCCTCACATTAAGCACAAAGCAGCCTTAATATTTCCCTCTGATTTATCCGTTGCCTTGTATATCCTTGGAAACAAGGGTACAGTGCTCTACACAATAGCCACACCCTCAGAGCCGGGGCGAGATCAAACCTGAATATTTCATCCTGGGTAGAAAGGCCAAAGCTGAATACTTACTCTTTGCTCTCAGAGAGCCACTTCTGCCAGTGCAGAATTCTCCTGGCCTGCTAATATTTTGCAGCCTGCAGTGAAAGGAAGGAGGTCTCCTTGTAATGAGAAACAGGCCCCTGGTGTTATATACTAGAAAAACAGAAATGCTTTAAATCCATTTTAAACATCTTGCTTCCAAGAAAACAGATGTTCCATTTCACCCTCTACTTTAAGTAGTCTTAGTGCTGGAAAAACTGTTGTAAGACACTTAGAAAATAACTGGCTACCCCATAACAGATGGCTCAGAACTGGAAAAAAAAAAGGCTTCTGAGACCTAAGTGCAAGTTCTGTTACCTGCATCCTCCAAATAATTAAAAAAAGGAAAAACAAAATATTTAGTTAACACTGAAGCTGTGACACAAGGTGACAAAAGTGAAAATCTATTCTTACAGCTCACATTCACAGATACAAATAAAGGATAAATCAATGTCAGTGGTCGTTCTGAATTTCTTACCTCTGGTTAAATTATGTCATAAGAAGTAGAGAGAAGCTGAGAAACGAAATCTTGCATGAAATGTTGTGTTTTTTTAAACCTGAGATAGTGTAGTCGTGAAGATTAAAATCACTCAAAAAAACCTATTTACCATTCACTATGTTGCATGTATTTCCCTTTAGAAATAAATATGATGGAAGTTCAATTTGATATTCTATTTTCATTATGTGGCTGCATTTGGAGTGTGTTGGGAATGCATTTGTGTTTTAATTAATAAAAGTCATTTAAAATACAGAATAAGTATTGATTAGTGCAGATGAACTAGTCGAAATTAGCTGTGTATAAAAGAAACCAGTAAGGTAATAAAAGAAAACAGAGTTTAACAAGTATCAAGTTAAACAACAGTAAGCAAATTACACAGGCAAGAGTTTCAGGCCTTTTCCTAGTATGTTTGCTAACTGAGAGTTTATAGGCCACATTCTGTCCTTAGGTATGTCTGTGCAACCCATTTACTTCTTTCCCATGGGAGTTTTAGTTCTGCCAGCATTTCTTATCATGATCTTACAGTTGTGTTGTGTTTGAAACAAACATCACTTTGGGCCTAACTAATCATTACTTTGATTTGTGTACTTATTTGTAAGCCAGTCCCTTACAGTTATTAGAATCAATGGGGAGAAGGGAAAGGGAGAAAACTCGTGTAAAAAGAGGCATAAATAAACGTTTTTGAAAACTCCGCTTTTATTTTCTTAGTAGATCCTAACAAGCCATTAAGAAAATAATTTTACATCTTCCTGTGTGTTTTTGAATATTAATCCAATTTTAACAGAAGTTTTGCTATCCTAAAGTAAGAACATAGAACTGCTGCTTGCAGCTGTATGACAAACTTGTCTGGACTTCTAAAATAGGAAAAATATATCCACCCAAGCAGTAGGAACATGCATAGAGAGAAGTAATTATTGCAAAACATATTTTTTGTAATCACAGAATCACAGAATCACAGAATCGTTTAGGTTGGAAGGGACCTCTGGAGATCATCTAGTCCAACCTCCCTGCTCAAGCAGGGTCACCTAGAGCATATTGCCCAGGATCACATCCAGACGGCTTTTGAATATCTCCAGCGGAGACTCCACCACCTCTCTGGGCAACCTGTTCCAATGCTCTGTCACCCTCACAGTGAAGAAGTTTTTTCTCAGGTTCAGATGGAACTTCCTGTGGTTCAGTTTGTGCCCATTGCCTCTTGTCCTGTTGCTGGGCACCACGGAGAAGAGGCTGGCCTCATCCTCTTGACACTCCCCCTTCAGATACTTGTACACGTTGATGAGATCCCCTCTCAATCTTCTCTTCTCCAGGCTGAACAGGCCCAACTCTTGCAGTCTTTCTTCCTAGGAGAGGTGCTCCAGCCCTCTAATCCTCTTGGTAGCCCTCCGCTGGACTCTCTCCAGGAGTGCCATGTCTCTCTTGTACTGGGGAGCCCAGAACTGGACACAGTACTCCAATCATGCATGAAAATTGTGTTTGATGTCTGGATTTTTACAACAAAGTTACACTTATTACGCAAAGAAGAGATAGATGATGATTAATTAAAATTTATAAAAGAAAGAATTGAAATTACCAACCTAGAGTTTGAAGTAACACATTATATTAAATGATGTA